TTCTCCCTTGGTATCTGCACAAGCTCCCAAGACTCGAAACCCTGCTCGTGCTTCCTCCGCATATTTCAGCATCTTATCTTCTTTAGCGTCGTATTCACCCTTCATTTGCTCCACCACCAATTGAGAATCTGAGTGAATAACAACTTTCCTGGCTCTTGCGCCCGCCACTAACTGCATGCCCTTCAACAACGATTCATACTCGGCCTCGTTATTTGAGGCTCTAAAAGTGAGCTTTACGGCAAACTCCATCGACTCTCCCCCTGGTGGCAAGATTAGGACCCCAATACCAGCTCCTATTTTAGTTGAAGAGCCATCTACGAAAACCTCCCAAACTCCCGGATCATCCTCCATTGTGCCCTCCTGAATAAAATCCGCTAATGCTTGGGCCTTAATTGCCCTCCTTGTCTCGAAACTAACATTGTACTCCCCAGCTCGACCGCCCACTTCACCATCCTGCCAGAAGCTGACGGTCTGCCCAACGTCTCCTTCAAAGGGAAGTTTGTTCGCACCATAACCAGATGTGATAAGAAATAAGGTCGCAACTTCCTCGCCGTAGCAATAAGAGCTAATGTCGCTTTCTCCACCTCTGCATATTTCATCTTCGCCCCTTGCAACAATCGGCTGACATAGTAAATAGGTTGTTGTCCACCCCTTCCTCCTTCAACAGGACCAAACTTATGGCCACCTTGCCCACAGAAAGATATATAATCAACACATCCGTTGGGTCCGGTTTGGTGAGCAGGGGTAACTCTGCCAGGAACTGCTTGAGTCTGGTAAAGGCTTCATGTGCCTGTGTGGACCACTGAAATCGTGCTCCTCGCCAGAGAGCTCAAAAGAAAGGAAAACTCCTTTCGGCTGCATGGGCTATGAACCGGCTGAGCCCTTCCAAACGGCCCGTGAGAATCTGCACTTCCTTTATATTTCTAGGCGGCTGCATTTCGAGCACCGCCCTCACCTTCTTAGGATTAACTTCTATACCCCGCTCCGTAACCATATAGCCGAGGAACTTGCCTGACCTTACCCCAAACTTGCACTTCGCAGGGTTTAGCTTCATCCTGTATCGTCTCAACGTTTCGAAGGTCTCTTTCAGATCCCCCACGTGGTCATCTGCTTTCCGGCTCTTTACCAACATGTCATCCACGTAAACTTCCATATTTCTCCCCAACTGCCCCTCGAACATCTTATCCACTAAACGCTGATACGTTGCCCCGGCGTTCCGCAGGCCGAAAGGCATGACAATATAACACTAACTCCCCTTAGAGGTAACAAAACTTACCTGCTTCTGGTCCTCTTTAGCCAATGGTATTTGATGGTATCCCTGCGAGGCGTCCATCATGCTCAACAACTCACAACTCGCAGTTGAATCCACCAATTGATCAATGCACGGTAAAGGATAATGGTCCTTTGGGCATGCCTTGTTAAGGTCCCTAAAATCCGTGCACATACGCCACTTATTCTCTGCCTTCTTCACCATGACTTGATTCGAGAGCCATTCCGGGAATTTAATGGGTTCAATGTGGCCAACCTGTAACAACTTGTCTACCTCCTTCTCGATAACAGCATCCATTCTATCCCAAAAATGCCTCCTTTTCTGCTTGACGGGCCTCACCCTGGTGTCAATGTTTAGCTTGTGCTCAGCCAATTTAGGGACAATGTCCACCAAGTCCCCGACGCAAATGCAAAAATATCGGCATACTCTCTGAGCAGTGCCACCAACTTCCCCTTAATAGGTTCTGCCAACTCCTTTCCTACCCATGTCACTTTCTCCTGCTCCCCTTCCACCAGAACGATCTCCATTAACTCGTCTTGTGGAACCATATCCCCTCTAGCTTCCTTCACCCTACTCGGGCCTTCCTCCCCAACGTTGTTTGGCTTCTCCTCCCTGCACTTTCTTTTATGGCTTGCCTTCAACACAGTTTGGTAACAAGTCCTAGCCAACCGCTGATCCCCCGTAACTTCACCCACCAGCTCGCCCACCCGGAATTTCATCTTCATACAATACGTTGATA